CAAATTGAAAACCAGGCAGAATAGCTCTGTCTTACAGGCCCTGCGGAAGGAAGTTAAATCCTGCAGGGCCTTGGTCTCATGGGACAGAGCATTCCACCAGGTCAGAGCCATCACTGTGAAGGCCCTGGCCCTGGTGGAGGATAATCTGACTTCCTTAGGGCCCGGGACCTCTAAAATGTGATTATTCATATACCTTAAGGTCCTCTGCGGGGCATACCAGGAGAGAAGTGTTCACTCATCTAACCCAACTAATTGGTTGGGCAAATGTCCAGAAAAATACGAACCATTGAGGGTGTTCACCATCTTTTCCTCCATCCAAGACCATTTCACTTCCACAGTGGGGCCCTACCTGCATCGGTTGCTTCAACGCTGCAATTAGAAAATAGCGTTAAGTGCGGCGAAATGCTCATCTGCAGAAGATTATGAAAACTGGATTGAGTTTCCAAGAGGTCGCAGCTGTTCCAGTCCCTCGAGTGAACGTGTACTGCTGTCTTTCTGTGCCAAGTCTGGGCCCAGATTGCCTTTTACTGGCTGAGAGTTGCAATAAAACTTTTCAAGCGGAATTTTACGCAACCCAAGTTCTGACATTGTGAAGGTTGTGGTTGGGTCTCCTAAAGTAACCTTATAAGGCCCCTGCCAATGTCATTTCCCAGATTGTGTGCTCCCATGGAAGATGTCTCAGGCAGATATTACCTATCACAGTACACTTGCTGCGTTAAACAATAGATTTTTTCGGCTAATGCACCTTGTAGTTGATTCATGTCGCACAGTATCCGGTTTCTTGCAAGAGCCAACAGCTGATGCTCCAGAGGAGGTTTGAGACTTCTGCATTAGGCACATGTAAAAATAACATTCTCTTTATCAACAGCAATATTTGCCGAAAGTTAAGTGTTCTTTAAGTCCTGTGTATTCCGAGGAGGGGACGCGGGTGGCGCTGTGGGTTAAACCACAGAGCCTAGGACTTGCCGATCAGAAGGTCGGTGGTTCGAATCCCTGCGACGGGGTGAGCTCCCGTTGCTCGGTCCCTGCTCCTGCCAACCTAGCAGTTCGAAAGCACGTCAAAGTGCAAGTAGATAAATAGGTACCACTCTGGCGGGAAGGTAAACGGCTTTTCCGTGCACTGCTCTGGTTCGCCAGAAGCGGTTTAGTCATGCTGGCCACATGATCCGGAAGCTGTACGCCAGCTCCCTCGGTCAGTAAAGCGAGATGAGCACCGCAACCCCAGAGTCGGCCACGACTGGACCTAATGGTCAGGGGTCCCTTTACCTTTACCTTTTATTCCGAGGAGAGAGGTGTGCAGCCTGATACCAGGCAGATTGACTTGAAAGAATGCCCCACATGCAGTGGGGCTTACTTCCCAGTGACTACAAGCGCTTAAATGCTTGCTCAACTTTTCCAGGGAATCAATGGCACTTTCAAAGTTTGCTTTCACTAGATATCAGGACAGGCACATGTCTCTGGCTCAAAGCAGCAGCTCATAACCTTTTCCTTCACTCTTCCCCAGTGATGCTTATTTTGTTTTTGTTTTTTAAGAGATAACTTTACACTACTTCCTTTAAAAAAAATATTGGTTTACAACACTAAAACATGCATTTATATTTATTTATTCTGAAATGTTTATGTTCAGCTAGCTAGGCGTTTGGCACAAGGACATGATACTAATAGTGCGGTATAGTGGTTAGAGCATCGGACTAGAACCTGGGAAAGACCAGGGTTCAAATCTCCACTCAGCCGTGAAGCTCACTGCATGGCCTTGGGCCAGTCACACTCCAACCTACCTCACAGGGTTGTTGTGGTGATTAAATGAGGAGGGAGAGCACTATATACACCACCCTTAGTTCTTTGGAGAAAAAGCTGGCTAGTAAATGCAATAAATATATTTGTATAGCACTTTGTTCAAAGTGCTTCACATGCACCTTCTAGTTGTAATCCCTTAGGCATGGGATGCTGGTAGCATTGTGGTCTAAACCACCGAGCCTCTTGGGCTTGCCGATCGGAAGGTCGGCAGTTTGAATCCCCGTGATGGGGTGAGCTCCTGTTGCCCTGTCCCAGCTCTTGCCAATCTATCAGCTTGAAAGCATACCAGTGCAAGTAGATAAATAGGTACTGCTGTGGCGGGAAGCTAAACAGCATTTCCATGTGCTCTGGCTTCTGTCACGGTGTTCCGTTGTACAAGAAGCGGTTTAGTCATGCTGGCCCCATGACCTGGAAAGCTGTCTGTGGACAAACGCCGGCTCCCTTGGCCTGAAAGCGAGATGAGTGCCGCAACCCCATTGTCACCATTGACTGGACTTAACCGTCCAGGGGTCCTTTACCTTTACCTTTAACCCCTTAGGACACCATCAGGCTCTGGGGATGGATGTCCAAGTCTCAGAATGCTTACCCTAGCTATGCCATCTCTGCTCAGGCCATGCACATCACTGACCCTGCCTTTCTTTATTTATTTTTGGCATGGTTGGAATGTGTCCTTGAGCTCTGAAAATGCCTCTGGTTTCCACCATATTGACTACCCCGTCACAGTTTATACATGCAGCAGAGTCAAGCACCAGGATGCAAGAGAAGAGTAAATATTTCAATATTTAGCTACACCATGGGGAAGGGGGTGCGACAGCACAACGGCACTTTCCCCCCTGGCACCGTTGGGGCAACCCTCACTTAAATATAGTGCGACCATCTCACAGAACACCAATTACACGGATTTCTATAAATTACCCCAGATTATCTAGTGGAGGACTTGTGTGAGGGAAAACTTAATGATTTGGAGTCTTGGGCAGGATTTGATCAAATAAACAATAATATTTTTTTATACAAAATAAGTTTATGACATAAAGTATACTTCAGGTTATAAGGTTATTTCAGGTAACCGTTCACCTAATAATTTTTAAATTAAGTCTAACTGATGTTATGGACTTCTGATCAAGCGCAGTTTCTTTTAAACTTCAGTGGTTTATGTTTAGTTACTTTGGTTCAGTTAGATGCTACAGCTTTTTAGACTAAAGGGTAAATTCTCAGCTTGTTTCCAGTTATTTCACTTCAGTTCTTTCTCATTTGTTGCACAGCTGTTTGCTGCTTAATACTTTGGTTCTTAAACAAGCTGCTACTTCATGTCAGTTACACACCCCTTAGACAACCCTACTCCTGAGGTACTCCAAATAACAGACCCAAGGGATCACCACATTCTGCAGCAGAATCTCTCCCCTCCTAACAGGAATGAGACCTACCGTAAGTAGACTGTCTCTTTCCAGCTTCTACTTCTCTTGGTCAACCTCAGCCTCCCAGTTAATTCCTGGGCTATTATTCTCACAGGACGCCACACACTGTCCTTCACACTAAGCTCAGAGACTCCTTTCTCTAGCTTTTGATGGTGTTATGTACTGAGTTGAATAGGATCCAAAATGCAGCAGTCTGATTGGTCCTAGAATAATAGGATTCGGAATGCAGCAGTCTGATTGGTCCTAGAACAATAGGATTCAGAATGCAGCAGTTTGATTGGTCATAGAACAATAGGATTCAGAATGCAGCAGTCTGATTGGTCCTAGAACAATGCAGCAGTATGATTGGTCTGCAGGAGCCACCCAATCCAGCTCCAGATGGAACTGAATCCGTAACCTGATTGGCCTACAGGAGAATTCCGGAATTAGCCAGTCACGTGCAGCCCATTGTGTAAATAATGTATATAAAGCAGATACTTTGGGGGGACTTTCATTCCTCCTCACCTCTAAGAGCTGAATAAAGAGCATGAAATCCACTCTCAGCTCTGAGTATATTTCAGATATATTCCTCAGAGTGGATGTTTCTACCCAGAACCAACTCTCTACCCTCCCACTCCCTATCTCCCAACCTGACTCCTAACCTATCTCCTAACCTATCTCCCCCAAACCTTTTCTTTGCTACTCCTTCTCCTGGAACCCCAACCAGTCAGAAGCTGCTGTTCGTTAACCGTTTGCTGGCAGGGCAAATGAAAAAGAAAACACCTGGTGACCCAACCTGCCCAGCAAAACAAACTTTAATGCCACAAGGGAGGGGAGCAGTTTTTGCACCTAGAGATGGGGGATAAATTTGATTTAATTCACATTTAAAGGGGAATCTTTCTATTTTACACTTTCTGAAACAACGCAAGAACCCAAAACGCAGCTGTCCCTTGAAATTCAAAATTCTTCAGATTTTGCAATAAAATTGTCACATGCATAAAAAATGCATCTACTAAAGCAAAAATAAAAATGCACATATTGGTAAAAATGACACCCAAATGCATTGTTGTCGGAGAAGCTGCTTTGCAAAAATGGTGTATATTAGGTAAAATATGCGCATATTGGGATATACTTGAATGCTGATGGCCATCTGCCAGGACGCACGGGGTCCCTTCCAACTCTACAATTCTATGATTCTATGAATTTTCAGAAGGACTTTTAAAAAAACCATAAAGTGATCTGGGAATGTGAAGAACTGAACTTAGAATGAAGCAGGAAAATAAAACGGGCAGATACACCCATCCCTAAGGTAAGGGTAAAGGGACTCCTGACCATTAGGCCCAGTCATGACCGACTCTGGTGTTGTGCCGCTCATCTCGCTTTATTGGCCAAGGGAGCCGGCGTACAGCTTCTGGGTCATGTGGCCAGCATGACTAAGCCACTTCTGGCGAACCAGAGCAGCGCACAGAAACGTCGTTTACCTTTCCGCCGGAGCGGTACCTATTTATCTACTTGCACTTTGACGTGCTTTCAAACTGCTGGGTTGGCAGGAGCAGGGACTGAGCAACGGGAGCTCACCCCGTCGCAGGGGTTTGAACCGCCGACCTTCTGATCAGCAAGTCCTAGGCTCTGTGGTTTAACCCACAGCGCCACCCGCATCCCATCCCTACTTGTACCTAAAAAAGTAATATCATGCTAAGCCGTAGGCTAGAATGATCTCTTCTGCAGAACGCACTTTGTTTTCTACATGAATGGAGGTTTTGTCTTTGCAGGCAAGCCTTCAGCTGCACTACAACTCATCACCTGCAGCCTGAAATGGTACAGTCCAGGTAAAATCTTCACCACCCGATGCTCCTTTATGCATATGTTGGGTCTAACACTGCCTCCATTCAATGCAACCACATCTCATCCATATCGCCGGGCATTTTGCATCTTTATTGGCTCACCACTTATGGTTCATCTCCCACATTGTGGTTTGTCTCCATGCCACTTCAAGTCACGATGAAGGAAGGTGAAGAGGTGGAGGATGCCTTGTAGAGCCCTTTCCAAAGCTCAGGAGGTGAGTGGTGGTTTCTTTTCTTCCTCCTTGACACGAGTGGCAATCACATGAATTTGCATGCATGCCCTGCCGAGAGGCGAAGTCTGCTTTCTGTGTAGCAGACGCCATGTGGTTGAATGCAAAACCATGTAGATCTTGTTACGTCAAGCCAGGGAACATCCCGAATGTGACATTGCAGTGGTCAAGAGCAGCCATCTGCAGCCTGGGCCTGCCAACTTGCTTTCAAAGTGATCTGGAGAGAAATACAGTCTCCAGCGTTCATTGCTTTTTTATTAATATTTTAAAAATCATATATTAAAGACAGCACTTGGGAGGTTCCCAAATTGTCCAGATGCAGCTGTCCTTCTGGGGGAATCATGTGTTTCTTGCGTGAATAAAGGGTTCATCCTGGAAGGCATCAGAAACATTTGTACTTAATTGGGCTGTGTCAAAAAAGGAGAAGAAACCTTAGAGCCCAGCATCCCAGCCTTTTACACACATCATAGGATGGAGGCTTTTCTTGTCTGATGTCAGGAATCTTGCAGCGAGTTGACAAGGATTTTCTTTAGATGTCCAAATGGAGCAGGGTTCACCATAACATAAGTGACGGGCATTTTTTATTTCCCTTCTTCTTGATAATAACATGGAAAGCAAAGGCCCTGGAGGTCACCTGGAGGTCACAGGTGTCTCAGTGCACATTAAATCAACAGGAAGGACCAAAGAACTGGCCACTTATGTATCTGCCTCTAAAAGTTCTGCATCCAGTGTTTCAGCCTAATAGGACCAGGAAGCCTTGATGGGAACAGAAAAAGAACATCACAGGAATCCTTTTATTTGTATGCCGCCTTTCCAAAGTTAAATCTACACTCCACATAAAAAGATTTACATAATTACAAATGTAGCCAAAGTAATCAGAAAAAATAAACAAAACGCATCAAATTGTACACGACAATTTCCACATAAATCGTAAGATCCAGAAATAATGACAAAGAATTATTACCAACAACAGCAACACTACTCCAATGCAAGAGTCTGTTCAGAAGCCTCAGCTTTTGTAGTTGGAGTCAGTCCAGCCCTGCCTTCCTCCCAGGTGGAAAAGGCCTGTAAGGCAGGGAGCAGGTCTTCCAGGAATTATAGTGTATTGCACTAAAGCTTGGCTAAATATCCATGGCCCACATCTGCAAGCCCAGTGCTTTTTCTTCTTCAAGGGGTACTCAAAGACACACAGTACCGGCACCTTTATTGTAGTTAAAAAGTGTGACACTTACTGTAAAAACTCCATGGTGAGTCTCAGCACCTATTTTTCTAGGGGGGAAAGCACTGTGTAAGCCAACTTGTCCACTGAAAAAAGTGTTTATGAGATATTTAGCAACTTTTTAGACGGAGTGTAATTCTAAGAGAGAGAGAGAAGCAAAGTAATGTTTGATCACTTTGCATTGAAGGGCAAGAATTACAACCACTGAAAATTCTTAAGGATTTATCTACTTCAAATGTTTAATCCATTTTTCAGGGGGATGTTTCACCCCATTCCATACCCTGAAATAAAAAAACTTTACTAGATCGGTCCAAGGATCTATCTAGTCCAGTGTTTTATTTCAAAGAATGGCTGAGCAAATGCCTCTGGAAAGTTCACAAGGAAGATAATATACTTCTCCTGTTATATGTTCCCAGAATCTGGTATTCAGAGATATTGGGGTGTGGGCGCATGGAAACCTATGACAAGAGCTATCAGAATGAGCAGCTTAATAAGCTGTGGATCTCCATCAATTCAGCTGGTGTTGAGTCCCCAGTCCCAGCTCAGCTGAAGATATACTGCCATTAGTTGCTCATTCAGGGCTCAGACAGTTGAGCGAAAGATGGCAGGTTCAAGGCCAGTGTAAGTCCAAAATAGGGGCATTTGTGGAGGGTGGCCGGGCAATGGGGGACTTAATCTGGATCATAACTCAGTTCAGTCTTGTGACCTGGCAAAAAGGGCAGCATAAGTCAAACTCAAGTTTATTTTCCCTCTGACAGGCTCATCCAGCAGTAGTTTTGCTCTGGGATAGGGTTTGGCTCTGGAATAATGTTATGCCTGATTAATTTACAAAGGGACGCGGGTAGCGCTGTGGGTTAAACCACAGAGCCTAGGACTTGCCGATCAGAAGGTCGGCGGTTCGAATCCCCACGACGGGGTGAGCTCCCGTTGCTTGGTCCCTGCTCCTGCCAACCTAGCAGTTCGAAAGCACGTCAAAGTGCAAGTAGATAAATAGGTACCACTCCGGCGGGAAGGTAAATGACGTTTCCGTGCGCTGCTCTGGTTCGCCAGAAGCGGCTTAGTCATGCTGGCCACATGACCCGGAAGCTGTACGCCAGCTCCCTCAGCCAATAAAGTGAGATGAGCACCGCAATGCCAGAGTCAGCCACGACTGGACCTAATGGTCAGGGGTCCCTTTACCTTTTATCTAATTTACACCAGCTTGCTTTATGCCAGATTCTTGGGTAAAGGATTCCTCCCACACTGCCTCTGAGTGAATTAAGAATCCATCCCTCTTCCTGGGCAATTCTGGGAATTGTAGCTCTGCGAGGAGAATAGGGGTCTCCAAACAACCCTCAGCACCCTTAATAAGAGACAGCTTCCAGGATTCCTTTTGGGAAGTCCTGATGTGGCGTGAATGGGCGAAAGAATTGATGCTTTTGAATTATGGTGCTGGAGGAGACTCTTGAGAGTCCCATGGACTGCAAGAAGATCAAACCTCTCCATTCTGAAGGAAATCAACCCTGAGTGCTCACGGGAAGGACAGATCGTGAAGCTGAGGCTCCAATACTTTGGTCACCTCATGAGAAGAGAAGACTCCCTGGAAAAGACCCTGATGTTGGGAAAGATGGAGGGCACAAGGAGAAGGGGACGACAGAGGACGAGATGGTTGGACAGTGTTCTTGAAGGTACTAAAATGAGTTTGACCAAACTGCGGGAGGCAGTGGAAGACAGGAGTGCCTGGCGTGCTCTGGTCCGTGGGGTCACGAAGAGTCGGACATGACTAAACGACTAAACAACAACAACAACGATGTGGCGTGAGAGTGCTTTAGATGTGTGGTGCAGATGTGGACAAGACCGAGATTTGATTATAGTTGCCCACTCCACTGTCCGGATCCTGAGAGGAAGTTTGGGCGGAAGGTGTTTTAACAGAGGTGTCTCCTAGCAGGTCAGACGGCTGATGGGGATGAGTTTCAGCAATGTGTTATCGCTCTTTGCTTTCTCAAAGCACAGGCGAGCCTAATCTGCAAACCTCGCTTTCTACACCCACCGCCCCACAGTGAGTCATGCTTATATGGTTCCCTGAGGGATGGCCTTTGCTTCTGATTGCTCTTAGTTACAAGCTCGGGCTGATTACCCTAAAACTTCAAACCTGTGTGAGGTCTGGGTGGCTGGAGATTTTCAACCTATCTATCAGATTGCTGCAGAGGGCCTCTCCACCCATCACACCCACCCCTCGTTCTCTTTAAATGAAAATTCCGTATGTTATGAGTTTGCAATAAAATTCCCATATTTTGGAACCGTTTATATTTCCTCTCTAAAGTGTTGCATTATATAGATATAAGTCGGCAACTGCTTTTACAAACATGGAGTTTAATTTGGTATTGGTCTCGGCTGAGGGTTGTAAGGTTAGATTGCTGCAACCCGTTATTCATGGGGCTGCCTCTGAAGACGGTTTGGAAACTTCAGCTGGTGCAGAATTTGGTGGCCAGGTTGCTCCCCGGGACAAGACGGTTTGAACAGATTTCACCAATCCTGGCCCAACTGCACTGACTGCCAATTAGGTTCAGGGCCTAATTCAAAGCACTGGTTTTGACCTATAAAGCCTTAAACAGCTCTGGGCCACAGGAGTGTCTCCACCCCCATCGTTCAGCTCGGACACTGAGCTCCAGCGCCGAGGGCCTTCTGGTGGTTCCCTTACTGCGAAAAGCAATGTAACAGGGAACCAGGCACAGGGCCTTTTCGGTAGTGGCACCCACCCTGTGGAATGCCCTGCCATCAGATGTCAAGGAAATAAACAACAATCTGACTTTTAGAAGACATCTGAAGGCAGCCCTGTTTAGGGAAGTTTTTAATGTTTGATGTTTTATTGCATTTTTAATATTCTTTTGGGACATAGCTGTCAACTTACAGATTTGAAAATAAGGGACCAGCAGCCTCGAAAATAAGGGATCAGCAGCCAAAATAAGGGATTTTCCGGGCACAGGTACGTTCAACTTCTGAGCCCCTCTGAGCCAAAGGCAGAAAGCCCAGCCAGCAGCCAAACGAAGCCTCATCAATAAGGGACAGCAGCGGGACATGGCACTGGGATAAGGGACTGTCCCGCCAAATAAGGGACGCTTGACAGCTATGTTTTGGGAGCTGCCCAGAGTGGCAGGGTATAAATTATTATTATTATTATTATTATTATTATTATTATTATTATTATTATTTTATGCCTCAAGGACCATTGTGCTAGGGGTTGGGTCCTGCTTCAGCTGTGAATGTCCAAGCCAGCTGTGTGTATGTCTGTGGAGAAAACATATGAAAAGGATCAAGCTGAATATCAGCAGGGTCTTTCCCCCAGAGTTTCATGGGTTTGGTTCCTCGTACAGATAGGGATGGAAGCTTTGTGCTCCACACCCAGCCCTGGAGAACAACAGCATTTAGGACTCAAATGGGGGGTGGGGGGCTGTTTCCATACAAATCACCATTGCTGGAAGCCTCCAGAAGCCTATTGGCTCGCCCCAAAGGCAACGAAGGAGCCTTTTGCTGCCTGAGAAGCATTAACACATCCGCGTCACCATTAATTTCACCTTCTGAAGCTCCTTTTTTCTGGGTTGGGAAAGCAGAGGAGTCGTCCCTCTGCGGAGAAGAAATTCTAGGAGGGGGAAATGTTGTGACTCATCTCCGTGGCAACCCTCAACTGATGATGTGAGTGGTGCAAGATGTTACGCATGTTTAGCAACAACTGGACAACACGAGCGCCTTTTCAGTAATCTGAAAAATCCTCGGACGATAATGAGTTCCCCACGACTGCCTTACCCTTGCCAAAGCACCAGAATATATTGCACGGCACATCTGACATACACAGCATTTTATATTTCTTACCTGTTAAGATTCAAGGCAAGGGGCAGAGAAGATTTAAAATCAAAACCGTGCAAAAAGCACTGGGTGTGTGCTGTGTTATACCCTAGGGCTGTGCGTCTTTCATAATTCTGTGCTTAAAGAAGTCATGGTTTTGAGCATGGGGTTCAGCATTCTGAGACTCTTCATTTACTTTGTTGTTGTTTTAGAAAAGCCTTCTTCTATGCTTTTCTATTTTTCTACAGCATTCTCTTATGGCTGCAATGGCAGACTAGAAATAGTCTGGGTGCATGACTGGGGTCCCCTGCAGATCTGCTTGCCCTCCTCTCCTGTGACTGGCTGAACAAGTTATGCAAATACAGTGGTACCTCAGGTTAAGAACTTAATTTGTTCTGGAGGTCCATTCTTAACTTGAAACTGTTCTTAACCTGAGGTACCACTGTAGCTAATGGGGGCCTCCTGCTGCCGCCGCGCAATTTCTGTTCTCATCCTGAAGCAAAGTTCTTAACCCCAGGTACTATTTCTGGATTAGTGGAGTCTGTAACCTGAAGTGTCTGTAACCGGATGTACCACTGTACAGTGGTACCTCGGGTTACAAACACTTCAGGTTACAGACTCTGCTAACCCAGAAGTAGTACCTTGAGTTAAAAACTTTATCTCAGGATGAGAACAGAAATCACACGGCCCCATTAGCTAAAGTGGTACCTCAGGTTAAGAATGGACCTCCGGAATGAATTAAGTTCATAACAAGAGGTACCACTGTAGTAGTATTGAAATAGTCCCTCTTAAGCTCTGAAGGCTTACCAAAGTGCTGGTTTGGCATTATGCGAATACAGTGGTACCTCGGGTTACAAACGCTTCAGGTTACAGACTCCGCTAACCCAGAAATAGTACCTTGGGTTAAGAACTTTGCCCCAGGGTGAGAACAGAAATCTCATGGCGGTGGGAGGCCCCGTTAGCTAAAGGGGTACCTCAGGTTAAGAACAGTTTCAGGTTAAGAAAGGACCTCCGGAATGAATTAAGTTCTTAACCCGAGGTACCACTGTAGGCAGATAATATCTGTGTCGTTCACACAAGTGTCAGAATTCAGCTTCTTGTGAGGCAAAATTTAGGCAACTTTGGCACAAACATGTGTTGTTGTTGTTTTTGGCCTCTATATTGCTACTGCTATTAACTGTCCCAGCGCGGATCACAACAATTAAAATTTAAAAATGGATAAACCAGGTTGCAGTCACAGGAAAACACGCATCTTAGATGTCAAAGGCCAGGGTAAAGTAGCCTTCTATCCACAACACACACCCTCACACAACCCTCCCAAGGAGCATAAGGTTGCTCCTTTATTTTATGTTATTATATTAAATTTAATATTTTAACATTATGATCCCACCATTTTGGCGGCAAACAAGTCCTCGTGGCCGCTTGTCAATAAAAAGCCTAATACAAATTAAATGCAAGCAGCCAACATCCCATAATCCGGAACAGTCCTCTGATAAAATAGTCCTAAACACCTCAACACATACACACACATTATTGCCATACTTTTCTCCCTGTAATGTTTTGCTTGAAAGAGAATAAGAAAGAGAGGGATGGGGGATGTTATGTATTCAGTGGTTTGTGTTTGCTTGAGCTTGAGTCTGGAGGAAGGATTCTGAGCCCCTGTGTTCTGATTTGATACATGATATCCAATCACAGAACATTTCAGGATTTGGGCTTCTGCCATTGGCCCTTAAACTCTGAGTTATATGATTCGCAGCTTGGAAGCTGAGACAGCCAATCATGTTGGGAGTGGGAGTGGCCCAGACCTTCAAAAATGTATATAAGCAATTGCTTTAGCCCTGTTGTCCAGTTCTGTTAGTTCAATAAAAGTTCTTGCTGTTATCACTGTGTCATGGCTCGTGGGAACCCACCTACGCTTCAGAGGATGTATCCAATAATTACTTCATGTGCTACAGAAATGAAAACAGAAACAAAAAAATCTAGGCAACTACTTCCCTATTCTGGCATGTTCATGCTATTTTTTTTATTATCTGTTTTGTTTAATAAAAAGCAATAACAAAAAAGCATTACATGGTTCCCCCCACTGGAAATAATAACATATCACAAATCACCACTCATTCAAACAGCAGAAAGAAGGTAAAATATTGCATTAGTAGCCCAAGGAAAAAAAGTTCAACAGGACAGCTACAGCTTGCAAAAGAGTCACAGCTCAGGAATAGAGCACCTACTTAATCATGGAGATGTTCTATCCCTGTCGTTACTAGTTAAAAGGTCAGGTAGCAGGTGATGCAATCTGGAAAGGCTCTGGAAAGCTGCTGCGAGTCAGAGCAGACAACACTAGGTTAGATGGACCAGTGGCCTTACTTGGTGTTCATCTATCCAAATGCTTCTCCCTGGTCAGTTTGAGCACTGGCAGACTTGTTTGCGAAGCCTTTCTCACAAGGAGAAAGCCATACCTCAGCACCCCAGCAGATCCAAATTATCTAAATAAAGAGCAGGATTTTCCTGGATGATCCTAGAGATGGTTCACACCTGTGAATGCATTGCTTGATTCCTCAATGTGAGAGAAGCTTAAGAATTTCAATTTCTGTTGATCCCAGTGGGTTCGGGCCTGATTTGTGCTTCCTGGGCCGATGAGCGGATTGAAACGTAGTTATCCTTCACATTTTGCAATTCCCTGAAATTTATGATACAGTTCTCAGCTAAAAATTAAAGTACTAAAATGCATTAAAATGCATATATTTTGTTTTGTTTTGATAATAAGTTTTATTGATTTTCGATTATTCTTTGGCGATCACTCGTAGCCGAGTAAGATTGTCTTCCATAAACAAGGTTTTAACAATGAGTCAGTAAGTGAATGTGGAGGCCAATTCTGGACCCACACATCTTTCCACAGTGGGGACATCGGTTCCTGGGCTGAAGTTGATCACGGTGTGGATTTGCCAAGCGTGCCTTCCTCTTAGCACTTTTCTCCCTTGGGTCCTGAGTTCGAGTGTCTTCAAAGTCCATGACACCTTTGGTAAAACCTCATTATGACAATACCAATTTATAATACAATTAATAATATCAATCATTCATTTACCAAATTATATAGTTTAGATAAGGTGGCCCCCCTCGTGCTATAATTGATCATTTTCTTTTATTTCTGCGTTCTAAAATCTTACTGATTTCAATTACATTCCAGTCGTAATAATAATCCCTTATAAAACAGCTGCAATATTTATAACTTCTATTCATGTTGACACATTAAATGATTTTTATAAAATGCAGATATTAAGACAGTACATTTGTGAATTTTTGCGTATTATTATTATTTGCAATGTGCTAAAACAGGACAGAACGGACTTATTAATTAACACACATGAGATTGACTTGGGCTGAAAATAAGGAGCGCTGCCTACCCTTACATCCTGGTAATTTTAGCTGAATGTTTGATCTGCCTGCATACGTCCATGTTGATTTTTTTTTTTAATGCAAACCATCAGAAATAGGGTGAAATAAATTCCCAACTGGAAAATTGAGAAACCAAGAGAAACCAAATTGGGCAGATTTTTCTATCCCTGGTGATAGGTCATCCACATCACTCCTGGAAGTTGCCATTTGATGCTATATATGATCAACAAGCCCTTACAGCGAATGTGTGACAAAATACTATTTTTGGAGTCTCATCTATATTTTCTGCCCATATCTTAGTACCTAACTTAAACATGTGTGATGCAGAACTCACTGAAATGCCCTCACCCAAAGGAATAAATGTTGCTAAAACACCCAACTTTAATTGTGAAGGAACGATGCCTCTGTGATATACAGGCCTTTAGGGGAAAGGGAGTGAAAAAGCAGGATGACATATGTAATGGGTTAAAATAAGTTGTTTTAGGTGGACTCCCTGCAACCTAGGGAGTCTTTGGTAGATGTTTTGACTACAAGGGAAAACATCTGTTGTTATTCAGCCGTGTGCTATAGCTGTCCATGCTTCTATGCAGACACGGTCATAAACCTCTGAAAAGATACTGTTGCTTGGAGGGTCTGTCAAGAGGCCCTGGGATGGCGGGCGGGGAGGAGAAGATCCACCATCTTATTTGTTATTTATGGCACTCTTGGCTAGGACCACCACCCTCTTTCCAATCATGGGCCCCATTTTGTTAAACGCTGTTCAATAACCAAACCAAGAATGACCTTTGCCTCCACATTCCAGAATAGTACCTGTGTTCTCCTGTGACAGCAGAGGCAACCAAGAGTCTTGTAGAATCTTAGAAACCAGAAATGAAATCCTGTACTCACTTAATTGGGAGGAAATCAAACATCCTAACACTAATTAGGGTTGCCATGTTCCCCAGAGTGAAAATATCAAGAAAAGGTTGTTGAGCTTTTTTTTCTTTTTTCTTGCCTACTTGCCACACATCCAACAGCCTGTCAACAGCAGTGGGACAGCAGACTGATATAAGTGCTATTGTAAAGGTAAAGGGACCCCTGACCATTAGGTCCAGTCACAGACGACTCTGGGGTTGCGGCGCTCATCTCGCTTTATTGGCCGAGGGAGCCGGAGTACAGCTTCCGGGTCATGTGGCCAGCATGACTAATCCGCTTCTGGCGAACCAGAGCAGTGCACAGAAACGCCGTTTACCTTCCCGCTGGAGTGGTACCTATTTATCTACTTGCACTTTGACGTGCTTTCAAACTGCTAGGTTGGCAGGAGCAGGGACCGAGCAACGGGAGCTCACCCCATCATGGGGATTCAAACCACCGACCTTCTGATCAGCAAGCCCTAGCCTCTGTGGTTTAACCGACAGCGCCACCCGCATCCTATTGTATTTCTATTTATAGAAGTGCTATTGTACTTCTATTTAAATTTACAACTGTTTTATGGTTGTGTCTATGATGGCACGACCCCTTGGGTCTTATTTTGTACATTGTCCTGATGATTATGATTATGGTGATTAATACCCTGCCCATCTGACCGGGTTGCCCCAGCCATTCTGGGTGGCTTCCAGCATCACAAAAACACAGCAAAACATCAAACATTAAAAGCTTCCCGATACAGGGTTTCCTTTTATCAGAAGATTGTATCATGGTTTATCTGTTTGACATCTCATGGGAGGGCGCTACTACCCAAAAGGCTCTCTGCCTGGTTCCCTGCAGCTTCACTTCTCGCAATGAGGGAACCAGCAGAAGGCCCTCAGAGCTGGACCTCAGCGTCCAGGCTGAACGATGGGGGTGGAGATGCTCCTTCAAGTAGACATGGCCTAGTTGGATAAGAATGGCTTTAAGATAATCAAATAATCGCTAAAGCATATGCAAATCTTGTGCATATCCATGCCCACTTTTGTGCCGTGGGCGGGTCTGCTGCATTTCTTTTGGTGATGTGTGAGAGGCCACCATAGCTATACCTAATGGCAAGCTTCCCTCCACTGATGAAAGAAACTTTGATCCTGCGCAGGCTTCCATCAGTGGTACGGTGAGAGAGGCAAATCTTGCTATTTCTTCTTTCTCTCTTTCCTCTTCCTGTTGTTTAGTCGTTTAGTTGTGTCCGACTCTTCATGACCCCATGGACCAGAGCACGCAGGCACTCCTGTCTTCCACTGCTTCCCGCAGTTTGGTCAAAATCATGCTGGTAGCTTCAAGAACACTGTCCAACCATCTTGTCCTCTGTCGTCCCTTCTCCTTGTGCTCTCAATCTTTCCCAACATCAGGGTCTTTTCCAGGGAGTTTTCTCTTCTCATGAGGTGGCCAAAGTATTGGAGCCTCAGCTTCAGGATCTGTCCTTCCAGTGAGCACTCAGGGCTGATTTCCTTCAGAATGGATAGGTTTGATCTTCTTGCACTCCATGGGACTCTCAAGGGTCTCCTCCAGCACCATAATTCAAAAGCATTAATTCTTTGGCGATCAGCCTTCTTTATGGTCCAGCTCTCATTTCCATACATCACTACTGGGAAAACCATAGCTTTAACTATACGGACCTTTGTCGGCAAGGTGATGTCTCTGCTTTTTAAGATGCTTTCCTCCTGCGGCCCCTTATATTCTGTCAATCAGCTCTGAGTGCCAAGGGACCCTTAGGAAAGGTCGGCTGTTCAAATCCCCGCGACGGGGTGAGCTCCCGTTGCTCAGTCCCTGCTCCTGCCAACCTAGCAGTTCAAAAGCACGAAGTGCAAGTAGATAAATAGGTACCGCTCTGGTGGGAAGGTAAATGGCGTTTCCGTGCTCTGCTCTGGCTCGCCAGAAGCAGCTTAGTCATGCTGGCCACATGACCCAGAAGCTGTACGCCGGCTCCCTCGGCCAATAAAGCGAGATGAGCGCCACAACCCCAGAGTCGGTCACGACTGGACCTAATGGTCAGGGGTCCCTTTACCTTTACCTTAAACACTCATAGACTGGGGCTGCTCTTCAGCCACAAGATGGAATACTGTTGATGTAGGTTAGGCTTTTAGTCATCAAAAAAGGAAGAAATTTTAAAAAAACAATAGCACCATATATGATCATTCAGCCTGAACACAGTAATTACTCTGAGGCTTTGATTCTTTACTGTGAATGAAAACCAGCCAAACCTTTGGGAGGAGTGTGGCATATGTTAGTGTCTATAGTCATTACATTTCTCTTTCAACGTTCCCCTTCTTCAAAGTGTCATACTCATGAGCCTTGATCCAGACTAGTAGCCTAAAGCAATGGGTGGGAAGTCTGAGACTCCACCACAATGTGGAGTTTCTAAGGAAGTGTGTGACAAATTGTAATGACAGGGTTGATTCGGAGCATTTTGTAAAGAAGCGGCGATTGTTTACTACACAAGATGCAGACAAAGGGAAATATGGAATGTGGATCGAGGTCAAATCATTGTGAACCAGAACACTGAAATTTCAACTCAGATTTGGATCTGAATATCTGAGAAGTACAGATCCATAAACTTTGTTGTCTTAATAAGTTTCTTGGCTGACGAAGTAGGACTCCAACACTTAAAGTTCGGGTCTTTGTACCCACTGACAACGATTACATTTCGACACCTTATTTTAGGAGCATGGAGGTGACAGGACATAAAATTTAAATGTGAAACATTTTGACCATTGATAAATTCATTCTTGTTGCCAAATAAGATGGCCTAAATTCAGCACGGAGTTAGGCACACTTAACCCGAATGGACTTAAGCATACTTAACTCTCTGCTGGATTTAGGCCATGATGATTAATCAGATCTTCAGCTTGAGCCAAGCCTATCCACTAAGATGTGCCAAAGGAAAGTTTAGTGGAGTGTAAGACCAATGCTCAAGACATCCTGTCTCTGGCTGGGGTGTTCCTTACTATGCCTGAAGGAGGGGCAAAGACCCAAAAGATCTTAGGGGAGATCAAATGTACACAACCCATGTGCAACTGATTATGCATGATGCTGCAGTATGGCCATGGTGCCTATGTTCAGAGGTGGTGTACCAAATACTAGCGGGGATTTAAAACAATATATCACAGGACACCTATCACCACCATGCCCTGCAGATTGAGAGACTAGGTATGTGTACAACCAGCTGGGGGAATTCAATTTTGGCCTCTATTTCTTGAGTTTGAGCATTGGAGATCTGCCCATCCAGTTTTCAGAGAGTTCCTATTTATCCACACAATGGTGTTTTATTTTTCACTTTAAACAGAGACACAGTATATTTTTGTACGCTGAGTATTTCGGCAATAGTGTATGAATAAATGTGTTTTAATGACTTGTTGCCGATGGGATAGATCAGTTGGCAGAGCATGAGACTCTTGTTTGCAAGGCCATGGGTTCGAGCCCCATGTTGGAGAAAAGATCCCTGCATTTCAGTGGGTTGGACTAGATTATCCTTGTGGTCCCTTCCAACTCTACAGTGCTATGTTTCTATGGTAGAATTCAGTATCATTCTAAGGTATTCTTCTCCCAAACTTCCGGAGCAGATTTGGAGAGGGAGAGGGGAAACCGGGTGTGGGGGGACTCATTGCACAAATTTTTATTTTACATTTGTTTTCACCCATGCTTATTGTGTTTTGCTTACATGTACAATGTGCATTGGCCTGGGTTCCTTCAGAGGAAGGGTGATCAAGTGATAAATAAAGTTACATTTTCATTATGTTTTCATTGCAACATGGATTCTCTGGTTTTATGAACTTTCTCTGCTGTTAGTGCATGAAAGGAAAGAGTGGAGATGTGTGTGTTAGCATTGACCTCATGACAATTCTGGTTGCTCTTCACAATCCATAGGACAAACTTCTGAAGTTGAGAGTTCTAGAACCCCAGGTGAGCCTCTATGAGTAGCAGAGGTGGGTGGGGAATGGTCAGAGCCCGCCCCCTTATCCCGTCTGCCTTTCTTTGCCTGTTAACATCAAAGAAGATGCGCTTGATGAGGGGAACAGTTGCTTGACTATTGGTTCTCAAGCATGTGTGTTTGCAGGGAAGAATGGTGGAGGTTTGGGTCAAAGTATCGTGACGCAGTACATGAATGCAGGTGCTCTGGGACAAAATGTTTCTTGCAGGTTGAGAATTTTTCAAGAATATACAATGTGAGAATGTAATGCTGTGAGAACACACACCACTTCCTTAGGCCGGCGTGATACATGAAGAATGATCAGAAGCAGATTTCAAAATGGCCGGCATAAATCTTGAGGAGCAAGGTCCAGAAGCATTAGGACCATCATGTTGTTGTTGTTTAGTCATTTAGTTGTGTCCGACTCTTCGTGACCCCATGGACCAGAGCACGCCAGGCACTCCTGTCTTCCACTGCCTCCCGCAGTTTGGTCAAACTCATGTTAGTAGCTTCGAGAACACTGTCCAACCATCTCGTCCTCTGTTGTTCCCTTCTCCTTGTGCCCTCCATCTTTCCCAACATCAGGGTCTTTTCCAGGGAGTCTTCTCTTCTCATGAGGTGGCCAAAGTATTGGAGCCTCAGCTTCAGGATCTGTCCTTCCAGTGAGCACTCAGGACTGATTTCCTTCAGAATGGATAGGTTTGGTCTTCGTGCAGTCCATGGGACTCTCAAGAGTCTCCTCCAGCACCATAATTCAAAAGCATCAATTCTTTGGTGATCAGCCTTCTTTACGGTCCAGCTCTCACTTCCATACATCACTGGACCACCATACAGCACACCATTTCTGTTTTCTTTTCAGCAGTGGCATTAGCTTCGGCTGCAGCCTCTCCTTGGGCAGCTGCAGCTTAAGCAGACCCGGAGCACTGGGATGTAACTTTGGCAGGTGGGCTGCAGGGTTGTGTGTGTGTGTGTGTGTGTGTGTATGTATGTATACATGTGTGTGTGTGTGAGAGAGAGAGAGAGAGAACGAACAAACCAACACATTTTAAATTACAGGCACAAAACAAAGCTATTGCCAACATTGCAGCAATGACTCTACAATATACATGAAAAGGTTGATAATATTGGGGCAAAGGCAATAAACAAAAGCACATTGAGGCTGGGTTTGTTTTTGTAAGATTATCTCGAATGCAGACTTTCTATGACCGTATCGATGCTTTTGTTTATTTGTGTAACCAACTTCCCTTGTAAAGCTGCGGCAGATAAAAAAAAAGGCAAAAAAAAAGCAGAGAGCTCTTCCAGATGTGTGAAGAAACCAGGCAGTTACTTTGGTCAGACTTTATAAATCATGGTGCTAGCCTCCTCCTTAAACCACTCCACCCCACCTCACCCCAAAAAACCCCATAGCAATTTTAACTCACTCATCATTGTTTAAAATGTCTGGAGTTCCCTTTGTAAACCAACAAGAAAAGAGATATGAATAAAAGAAAACCTCTGTCTGTTATGCAGCTGAAACTTTGGTGCCAAATAAATGCTGGTCATTTTCAAAGCATTTGTACTTTGAATCAGGGATTTTGATCCTGAAAAGGTTGTTTTGGAAGTGCCATGTGGGTGACAGGAGGCTTTGGGGTGTGGATCAATGCAGCATAATTTCACAAAACACTGGAGTTGGCACGTCTGTCTAATATTTTATTTGGATTTAAACAGCATCTGTTACTTTTTACACAGAGACACGAGGATCTACACAACTGTAAGTCAGCGTGGGGGAAATCACATTGGATGGGATGGGTGTGAGAGAGTCAATGAGATGTTGTGTACCTTTCGACAAGTGCAAATTTTGTTTTAGATGTGGTAATACAGTTGTGAAATTTTAAAAAATTGTGGATGGAGGGTTAGGATTTGAACTAGGATAAATTCTTAGTCCAAACTCCTCCTCGGTGGGTCAAATAAATGTAAAACACAATAAAACACAACAAAGCAGTATGTAAAACATTTCGTTTTCTAAAAAAAAGAAATCAACCCTAACAATCTCATATCCTTTCAGCCATTGTTTTGTTAGGTATATTTTTTAATGAATTACATGTGTTTCTGCATAAGCATGTTTGGTGAAAATGTGCTTTTATAATGATGTGTTTTCACTTGAGCTTTTGCTCTTAAACATGTCGCAAGTTGCTTGCATACCTTTTTGAGTAACAAGCAAGTAACAAATAATAATGTATTTGCTGTGCTGTGCCCTGCCCCCCGGAAGGCGATTAGCTCTCACCACTGGACACTGCCAATACGTAGAGGTCACATCAGGGACCCGGTCATTGTTCACTTACAAATTCTCCAAAGGTCAGATTCATGTGCTTTTCTATACAGCATTCAGAAAAAGTTGCACAGGCAATAAAACGTGGCTTGGTTACAAAGTTTCTAGATTATTGGTATAGGGACACAAGAATGGCTTGTAAGAGCCATGTGCTGCAGCAGCCAACTCAAAACCTCTTTACACAATCTAGTTGACTGAGGTACAACAATAGGCTTGATTACCTTGGCGGGACAGCTTACTCTATGGCATTAACCCCTTCATGCATTAGTTAGACTTAAGCATGTAGGTTACACAAGGCTGATTATCCAGCATTCAGCAGGTGTGCAATGCACAGGTGCTGAAATCGCAGCTCCTGTTCACCCACTGCCATCTCACAATGCCCTCTGTCAAGGGCATTGACAGCAGAACTCAGTCGAGGAAAATGAACATTTTCCAGCAAGTTCCCCATGAGCTGTTGCTGCTGCACACAATTATGTCTGTAAAATGCCATGAAAGGCAGAAGAAAATAATTAGGACAGCCGCTGACATATCACCAAACAAAGAGAGGAAAAGCATCATCAAAGAAGAAGACAAAACAGGGCACATATTTAAATAGATGCACATTTAGAAACAAATACCCAGGGTGACATTTGACTAAGTTTTACTTCAATGAGATCTATTGAACTTAATAAGCATAACGAATCGGGTTTCTTAATTTCAATGGAGATGATAGACATTGTAGTCTTGCAATGTCTTGGGAAACCAAGGTTGAAGAACTCTGAAATAAAGGACTGTCCCCTGCAAAGTATGACACATGGTCACCCTAAAAGGTAGCGCTTAATTTCTAACAAAACAAAAACAAAAAACAGAAAAACTTGTCCTGGTTCTAGTAATTCCTCTGAAAGTCTTCTGAAAAAAGTTTAGAACAATGGTCACCTTCAGAGGACCACCACACACACACCCCGCCACAAACAAGCATTGGCTCTTTAGCAGTATATCTGACCATTGCCTATAGGCCCTGACCTCTGAGTTTATAACTAGCCTGATATAAGATCCTGTGTGTTTCCTCTAAGAAAAGGCCTTTTTGATGCAAACTGGGTTCCTTTTCTTTCCCCTTCCCTTTGAAGCAACGCTACTGATGTTGAATTGACACGGCTGGACCCAAGCCGGTTGAGAAAGGCACTGCCAGGAAACTGGGGATTCTGCAAAAGCTCATGGGGAAGCAAAACAGCTGATGGGGCCATGCATTTTGCGTCGTTTGTTAGCAAGTTTTTATACGATTCTTAAATTTAATTACTTCCATAATCAAACAAAGGCTTTGCAGCCTTGCAGAAGACTGCAAAATGTCAAGAACAGCACATATTGTTGAAGGGTGACCACAACACTTCCTACGTCTAGGACATCTTGTGTGTGTGTTTTGTTTTGTTTTAAATACATTTCCAGTTTTCTTTCTTTCAGAGCATGTAACTAGAAATCATCAAAAGACCCTGCTTCAGCAGTCAGTATTTGATGGTACCATTCAAAAGGAGGAGGAAGGGTCTTATTAAGAAAGGTGGAAAAGACCACAACGTTTGCAGGTGAAGGGAAAAACTAAGATTTTATCTACTTCATGTCCAACCATAGGGAATGTTTGTATTTCACAGAGATTTTCCCTACGGCTTACAGGTCCTAGAGGCCTCACCAATTTGGAAGGGGACCAATACTAAATCAGATTAATTGTAGAAGTCTGCTGGGACTCCTCCATCATGTGCAAGACTGCAGAATTAACTTGAACTGGACATGTCATCAGATCTCATGGTAACACTAGAAAAGAGCTAGTCAACATGGCGCCCTCAATATGTTGTTGGACCACAACTCCAGCCATCCCTGACCAATGGCATTTACTGGCTGGGGTTGATGAGATAAAGCGTCCATCAACATTGGGAGGACCGGAGGTTGGCTACCCCTGCCTTGTTGTTGTTGTTGTTGTTTACCCACCATTCACCCAGTGCTATACCAGCTGCACTGGCTCCCGGTGGAGTACAGGATCAGGTTTAAGGTGCTGGTTTTAACCTTTAAAGCCCTATATGGCCTAGGACCCTTGTACCTACTGGACCGCCTCTCCTGGTATGTCCCACGGAGGACCTTATGGTCTTCAAACAAAAACATCTTGGAGGTCCTGGGCCACAGAGAAGTTAGGCTGGCATCAACCAGAGCCAGGGCTTTTTCGGCTGTGGCTCCAATCTGGTAGAACGCTCTGTCACAAGAGACTAGGGACCTGCGGGACTTGACATCTTTCCGCAGGGCAAAAGCTCAAGTGAAAACATATCATTATATCCACCAGGCCTTTGGTCAGGGCACAGCCTGACCCCCTCCTTTGGCAATCCTCACAGAACTCTAGCCCAATGGTTGCCATTAATCTGATTTTTATAATGAAAAGATTTTAGAATGTTGTATCATTTTACTGTTGTTAGCCACTCTGAGCCCAGCTTCGGCTGGGGAGGGTGGAATATAAATAAATTTTTTATTATTTATTATTATTATTCTTCACCCTAAGGTCAGAGGGCTGGTTAAAACACAATATTAAAAACTGTCCGTCTTGAGAACACCCTGGACTGCCACCCGCAAGCTTCTGAAGGTAGTGGAACAACCAAGAGCGCCCCTTCACCAATACAGTGGTACCTCAGGTTACATACGCTTCAGGTTACATACACCTCAGGTTACACACTCCACTAACCCAGAAATATTACCTCAGGTTAAGAACTTTGCTTCAGGATAAGAACAGAAATCGGGCTCCCGCGGCATGGCGACAGCAGGAGGCCCCATTAGCTAAAGTGGTGCTTCAGGTTAAGAATGGACCTCCGGAACAAATTAAGTATTTAACCCGAGGTATTAGCACCCATGAGGGTCTGTAGGAAAGGAGGCAGTCTTTCAGATCTTGGTGGCCCGAGTCATAAACACCAGTGTGAGCACCTTGAATTTTGCAGTTATATGAGATCCAAATGGAATCTGCATTTTGGACCATCTGAAGTTTCTGAGTCGTCTTCCAGGACAGCCCCATGTAGAGCTTATAGATTATCTACACCACCACCATTGCATAATCTATACTTTTTAAAAAACACACACATCGGCGCCTGTGAAATTCTTGTTACATACCTGCTATGCAGTCTTCTCTCAAACAGCAGGGCAATAGACTACCATTGAAGCCAGCCTCTCCTAAATATTATTAATCTTCCCAAGTGGATGAGGTTTTCTCATTTGACAAGTTGTTTCCATTGGAAAGAAAGAAGCGAGGGAGCATAATGTAGCCCATATGGTAGCCTTTCAGAAGAGCATGTCTCTGCCACCATGGACTTCAAGCGGTAGTATTTAATTGTTGCAGCTCTGCAGTCAGTCATAGAAATGTCTTGCTTAGAGGGGAGAAAAGGAAATAGGAAAATGAAGAGCAGACAACAGATGAGCTTGTGGAGAATGGAATGAATCAGAAATGATATAAGAATTGACAAGGGAGACAATATAGGTGGGGACAGAGGGCAGTAATACTGGGAATTAGAAACCAGAAGTTGATGTTGATCATGATAGTGTCAAATTGCAAGTATGCATTTAATAAACAGAATGATATTATAAATATTGGGACTGTTCCTACCGATTTGTTCAAATCCTGAATTACAAACCAAATCAGGCTGATTTCTATCAATTTGTGCCAAATCAACACCAGGTCAAGGCAGCTACAAATCGTTACAGAGCAAGTCAGGTGCACCCAAATTAATTCAGAACTTTAAAAATGGTCTGTCTAAAGCCAGACTGACCGTCTCCAAAGTGTTGCAGTTAGTAAGTGCAACCCATATAAGGAGAATGCCAGGGTGGGAAGAAGGAGAGGAGAGGATATAGACTGCATTCATTGAGAGCTCTTTGGGGCTTGGGTGTGTGTGAAGCCTTAAAATTCAGCAAGTTCACACTGCATGCATTCTTTTGTAAGTTCTATCTCTACAGTGATAACATTCTTCAAAGTAGTGATGTGTGGACCAATTTGGAACTCTTGTGTGTTTGTTTTCTTTAAAAAGTGGGGGGGGTGTAATTTGTCAAGGAGGGACTCCAGACTAGGGTAGAGAAAAAGAGAGCCCCCAACTCTTGAGTAGATCCAGCTTGAATCTACCCCACCACTTCTCCTGAAGTGTGTTCATCCATTCACTAAATTCGACTTCTAATCCAACATATGCTTTCCTTATTTAGATCTGTTAGCGTTGACAGTTTCCCGTGCTCTTCAGAAGTCCTCGGAATGTTGGCCTCTCCTCCGAGTCAGAAGAAATCCAACAGAGACATTTCAAAGGCAGAAATTACAAACTCAGCCAGAACAGGGACACCATTGCCTTCGGAAGTCAAAACAATCACACTCCATGTGTGGTTAAAGCAAATACACTGCCCGAGAAAATAAGCAAATAGGTCTACGGACAATGTGGGATCAAAAGGCAGCCAAGTCTGCTTATAACACAACATTGCTAATCAATGTCAGGAGGGTCTCTTCTCATGGCCTTTTCATGTGAATTATGGGATGTAGGCTGTCTGCTCCACCAGCATAAATTCTGGCTGTATGGTGCAGTAAGCTTCCGGTTACTTTTTCAGGTATTCTGATCAGCAGACAGCCCATAATTAACTATGCCTGCATTGGACCAAGTTCTCACATCCAGTGGCAGCAGTTGGAATGATGAGGCCTCTGTGGAGACCCAGGAGCAAGCAGAGCCTGACCTTCAACTGGAGACATTGGAGCAATTGTCATTTTCCAATGGATGAAGTGCTTGGTGACAGAGGAAGAAGCGGAACTTGAGATTCATGTACCCCCAAGTACGTGAAATACATTCTCCAACATGGCGGCCAATCATGCTGGCGTGCCCATCAGTACCTCCTATGGTGCCTGCAACAGGTCTGAATTAATATCCTCTCAGAAATCAGCACTGCTTGAGAGACTGCTTCTTGTTCTTCGTGCTCAGTTCCTGTTTGCGCTGGGTCAACTTCTCCAGACAAGAAGAGCTTCTCTCTGTGAGCAAATGCAACGGTGGCTGTTTGTGTTGGCATCCTTTTGTTGCTATGAATTATCTTACGGAAAGAAAATAATTCTGCAGAATACTAATGCACCGAAACATTTTCTATCCCACATCATTGACTCTGATCATATTCTCAGGTATTTAATAGAGCTTAGCTGTGTGTGTCACCCTACCCCTGGGTGGTGTTTTTTAAAGCTATGGATTTTAAGGTTCCCCGTATTCTTTCCTTCCTCTTCACCTTCCCTCTGAACAAAATCTGCCCATCAAATTCAGACCCCTTTGCACACGTGCAACCATATCCCCTTTCCAAATCTCATATTTCACCAGCTCATTACAAGAACCCCTGCCAGGGCGGTCTAAAGCTACACAGAAAGGCCCATTCACAGATACTTCCCCTTAATATCTCTTCGGAGAATGCAACTGAAACGAAACAGCGTGACTCTCCAATTTAGCATTTCCTTCTTGTCTGTCCTGGGGTTGACAAGGCTAGATCACGGACAACCCCATGCCGTCATCTCTTGTTAAACCCACTTACTGATTCTGTTTCGAAAAGGAAGCATAGCTTAAAAGAATCATGAAACGTGAGTTCTTACCTTCTGTGACCCACAGAGCCATTTGGAGGTGAATGCTTCTTGAGGGTGGAAATGAAGTGGAATGGTTGGGGGCTTGCAAAAATTCACAGGTTTTTTTCCCTCACATACAATGCCTTCCCTGTGTCTGTAAGAAGGCATCGTTTTTGTTCCACCCTCTGTTCATTACAGGCAGAGCTGTTTCTGTTCCGCTGCATTTTGCCTTCTGTCAAAAACAATGTCATCTGTTTTGCTGTCCAACCTTGGGGAAATTACATATCTGACTACATTGCCAATACATTATCCACTCTATTCGTTTCAGTGCAAAAGAAACACCATGCACCCTGGTCCACTACAACAATGGATTCCCCACCCACCCATCACATTTGCAGTATATGCATTGTAATAAACAAAAATCTGCCCTTATTCCCTTATGGGGGACACAAGAGCCCTTATAGAGCCCTTTGTAGGTTCTCCATCAGTCGGAGAAATAACAGAGGCCAACCAGAGAATATTGAGAAACAAAGCAGTTAGTAAGCCTGATCTTTATTGAACTGTTGCAACAGGGTGCTCCCCTCACACGCAGGAGAAAGGAGGAGGAACCAAAACAAAGGTGTGCCTGTCCTTATATAGACATTTTAAATTGCCTTCCCTGGAGCTCAAGACCACCCCTCCATACATCATACATATATCACAGAAGGGGTGTAACCCAAAACCACCCCCACAAACATCATGCCTACATCACAGAAAAGGTGGTCTACAACAGAAATTCGAATGTTGTTGCTTTTCCTGTCTGCCAGGTTATCTGATAATGCGTTATCTGATTGCCTTTCCTGGTAGTCTGGCCATTTCTTTGAGAAGGAAAGGTGGAAGAGAGATCGGAGTAGCCAGACCCAGGGCTCCATCTCAAGAATATTTTAGTGGCTTGGAAATGTCTTTAATTAATTAATTAAAATCAAATAATTTAATTAATAATTAATTAAAAACGGCCTTCTATGCTTCCTAAAATCAAGCCAGGTTAATCACTGCTTATTTCAGGCTTGCGTCCCCTCATTTGGAGTTTTCACGTTGCATTATAACAGCACCTCCTTTGCCTTCCATAGTATTTTACAGCTTCCTTTGTGGGACAGATTCATCCTATTTGCTCTTCTTCTGTTTCTTTTTCTTTTTTTTTTTTTTTGGAGTAATATGCTCATTTCCTGAGCCTGAAGTATGTTTCTGATTAGAATCTAACACCCCCTTCCTTCTGATTCTTCTTTACCCCCACTGTCCCATTCAACTCTTCAACATTATTATCTTCGTTTGCTAAGAGATGAAATGGAATAATCTCCTTTTAATCCTCCTTTAGTGATAACCCCGATATTTACCCTGAACCCTCGTTCATTGTGTCAGTATTGTCAAGGATTTGTCTCCTTTCCCCTCCAGGGCCATTCCTTCAGTGGAAAAAAAGGAAAGGTCATGCATTGTCTCCACAAATTTTCCATCTCCCCCTTGTTGTTTTAGGAAGTCACCTGCTGATACCCTGTGACAAAACAGCCTGATTGCTCTCTCTGTGTGTGTTTCTTTAGCATCCACACATCACTCTGAGCATTTATGCACAACGGTGGCTGAAATCTAAGGACAAAAGTCTCCCATACTGTGGCTTGAGATAAGATTAAGGGCAATGGTGTCAGAGTCTGCCTCCAATCATTCCGGGATTCACATTACAACTCAGTCAGAACAGTGGCTTTCCATATACAGTGGTACCTCGGGTTACATACGCTTCAAGTTACATACGCCTCATTCTGACCCCCTCCTTTGGCAATCCTCGCAGAACTCTAGCCCAATGGTTGCCATTAATCTGATTTGAACTGATTTTAGAATGAAAAGATTTTAGAATGTTGTATCATTTTACTGTTGTTAGCCACTCTGAGCCCAGCTTCGGCTGGGGAGGGTGGAATATAAATAAAAAAAATATTATTTATTATTATTATTATTCTTCACCCTAAGGTCAGAGGGCTGGTTAAAACACAATATTAAAAACAGTTTAAAACATATTCACAGAAATAAGATGGGCCTTGAAAACATGCATCTCAAGTGACAACCTGAACTCTGCCATATGGGAATCCCTTGCAGATGACTGTAGGGCCGCAAGACGGACAGTCAGGTCATGAATCCATAGCAATGGACTGCTGGGAGGAGCACAGAGAGAAGAAACGCCATGGTGCGCTTGTAGCAGCAAAACCGGACGCCTTCATCTGCCCCAGCTGCAACAAAACATGTCTCTCCCGGATCGGTCTCTCCAGGCACTGTAACTCTCCAACAGTTTGACTTCACCCCTGATGGCACACTCTACCATTGTCTCCTGAGACATATGATGCCAACAGCAAAGGTCAAAAACCAGAGTCAAGAGATGTGTCTTCAGCATGTACCAAAAGCTGTGTCAAATGAAGACACACTTCCATAGAGAGGGAACACCCTGGACTGCCACCCGCAAGCTTCTGAAGGTAGTGGAACAACCAAGAGCGCCCCTTCACCAATACAGTGGTATCTCAGGTTACATATGCTTCAGGTTACATACACTTCAGGTTACACACTCCACTAACCCAGAAATAGTGCTTCAGGTTAAGAACTTTGCTTCAGGATGAGAACAGAAATCGGGCTACGGCGGCGTGGCGGCAGCAGGAGGCCCCATTAGCTAAAGTGGTGCTTCAGGTTAAGAACAGTTTCAGGTTAAGAACGGACCTCCGGAACAAATTAAGTTCTTAACCTGAGGTACCACTGTACTCACATTCACATTCAGAGATGTGTTTTGGTTTGCATATTGTTTAATAATAATAATAATAATAATAATAATAATATTTATACCCCACCCATCTGGCTGGGTTTCCCCAGCCACTCTGGGGGCCTCCCACAAAAGATTAAAAATACATCAAAACATCAGTTATTAAAAACTTCCCTACACAGGGCTGCCTGCAGATGTCTTCTAAAAATCAGATAGTTGTTTATTTTCTTGACTTCTCACAGGAGGGCGTTCCACAGGGTGGGTGCCACTATCGAAAAGACCATCTCCCTGGTTCCCTGTAACTTCGCTTCTCGCAGTGAGGGAACCGCCAGAAGGCCCTCAATGCTGGACCTCAGTGTCCGGGTTGGACGATGGGGGTGGAGACGCTCCTTCAGGTATACTGAGCCAAGCCGTTTGGGCTTTAAAGGTCAGCACCAACACTTTGAATTGTACTTGGAAACGTCCTGGGAGTCAATGAAGGTCATTCAAGACCAGTGTTATGTGGTCTCGGCGGCCGCTCCCAAGCTAGATAGCTTTGCCTTTAAATGCAAACTGAATCAAATTTCTCCCGCAACCCTACTCCACACTCATTGGGATCCAAACGCCAGCAGAAACAATACTTACTTGAAGTGCAAACTGCAAAGAAGAGGAAAGGATTTAACCTGGCAGGAAGTTCCAGAATTTGGGGACGTTCTTTCACATGTGGTGGACTTGTAAAAGGGTAAAAGAGTATTTGGAAATGATCCATAATGAATTGAAAAAAATGTTTAAAAGTAGTTTCCCAAAAAAACCAGAGTCCTTTCTGTTGGGGATAATTCAGACTAAAATTCCCAGCTGTCAAAAAAGGTTATTTATGTATGCAACAACTGCTACCCGTGTTTTGTTAGCCCAAAAATGGAAAATGAGTGAGGTCCCAACCAAAGAAGAATGACAACTTGACAGAATATGCACAACTTGCAGACTTAACATATAGAATAAGAGAACAAGAAGAACATACGTTTAAAGAAGATTGGAAAATATTTATTGAATATATGGGAAATAATTGTGTACAGCTGAAAACGCTGGCAGCATTAAGATAAATTCAACAGTGTAAATAGGTTTTGATGGATGCAATAATGGAATACTGAATGGTATAGTTTTTGTAAAATACGCAGAGATTTAAGGTATGTAAAATGAACCATGGAAAGAGAAGAAGGGAAGTCCTTGATATCTTAAGGATGTAAAATGAGTATTTTAAATTGTAAAACAGAAAATTTAATTAAAATTATATATATATGAGAAGTTCCAGAATTTTGGCCCCATCCCAGCTAATCTACCATTCTATGTGAGGTCATAAAAGTGTTCTGTGACAACACCAGGACCGATGCTGCTTCAAAACTTGCTAGCCTCCAACTCCTAACCCCAGCCAACATTGCCAGTGGCCTGGAATGATGATATCTCCTCAAAATCTGGAGGACGCCACGTTGGCTATCCTTGTGCTAAGGTATGGGCCCTGTTGTTTCTCCTGAAACATGGCCTTGTCTACTACAGCATACCAGGATCTCTTAACTGTGGACAGAGTTCTTCAGGGCTATTCTTGGCTGATTTTAATGTCTAGCTGGGAAATGGGCTAGATAAGATGGGGAAAATCTCCGTCTTCTTTTAAATGAAACGAAGGAGGGCCGTCACCAGCAACATAAATAGATGGCGGTGCAGGGAGTGGGGGGAGGGGGTGGATCTGGGAAAAGCAGCCGAATAATGAGCCCTCTTCAAAGCAGGTTAAAGGCAACTTCAGAGAGGGGAAAACAAAGTGTCTAATCTAAGTCGCACCAGACCCTAAACAACCCGTGCCTCTCTGCTCCTTTGTTCTTAGAAATTTCCCATGTAACACTCTGAGGAGGGAGTGGGGGTGTCAGAGAAACGCTGCTCACTATTTTTGTATACACAGAAGCTGCGGAGTTCACCCCTGAGAAAGAGACATTTGGGGGAACGAAATGACCCCTGTAACAGGATAGGCGAGATTCCACCCTACCCCCCACTCTGCAAAAGTGGCGCATTCATTTTGCCAGATGACAAGAGAAAGCCTGAGAGGAACTGGTCCAGGAACTGGGTTGGGAGTGAATGCTAGCAATTCTGGAGGACCAAAGGTGAGCCAAAGGTACAGATGCTTTTGAGGAGAGCCACCAACAGGCTCAGCATTCTAATGACGCAACATAAAAGGCAAGCCCAGCCCAGCCACCCAGCAGAAGAGTAGATGTGTTTTCTATTTATCATTCCTGTTATACAAAAATCTCCAAATGGGTCCGAACTTCCATGTCTAAAACTCTTGGTAGAGGACAAGGATCTAGAGATCACACAATGGGTGGCCAAATTCTGTGCAACCGCCATAAAACTTAGGGAACAAGCTGTACTACCAAAATGATCAAGGTTTTAAATGACAATTTTAGGTTATATTTTAATGATCAAGATTTAATATATATTTTTAACTGTCGCTATATCTGAATTGTCTCTGTTATACCCAATTGCAATTCAATGTATTCCTGTTGTGTTTTATGATTTTCCTGATATTGTAAGTGAGCAATATCTGGTCTGTGACCGTAATAATAAAATTCATTCAGATGTGTTTTCCGCTCACTCGCCACTTGCGTTTTGCATTTGGTCTTAACACCGAGGAAGCTGCTGTGGTAAGAAAATTCAGAAGATGCAAGAAGTTGATCGATCAAACATGAATTGTGGGAATTTAAGAGTTGGGGTGTATGTGGAGAGAGGGAGGGGTGTCGCTGCATTCTTCCCTAACTTTCCCCAAGATTCAAAGCAGAAGGACTAATATGGAAGTAGTGATTAAACTAAACACATTTAGATTACCCATCAATATAACAGTTCAATAGATGGCCTCATATAGGAATTGTTATTTAGTCGTTTAGTCGTGTCCAACTCTTTGTGACCCCCTGGACCAGAGCACGCCAGGCACTCCTGTCTTCCACTGCCTCCCGCAGTTTGGTCAAACTCATGCTGGTAGCTTTGAAAACACTGTCCAACCATCTCATCCTCTGTCGTTTCCTTCTCCTTGTGCCCTCCATCTTTCCCAACATCAGGGTCTTTTCCAGGGAGTCTTCTCTTCTCATGAGGTGGCCAAAGTATTGGAGACTCAGCTTCACGATCTGTCCTTCCAGTGAACACTCAGGGCTGAATTTCTTAAGAATGGATAGGTTTGCAGTCCACGGGACTAAGCATGGTATAAACTGACAAAATATCCAAAGGTTCCAAAACTTAATGATCCCAACTCTTTCCATATCAGTAGCAAGCTAAGCTTCCTGTAGTTATTGTTCCTGAAATGTCAGAACATAAGAAAAGCCTGCTGGATCAGACCAATGGCTCATAAAGTCTAGCATTCTGTTCTCAAAATGGCCACACAGATGCCTTTAGGAAGCCTGCAAACAAGACCTGAGCACAACACCACTCTCCTTACCTATTGTATTCAGACATATACTTCCTCCGACAGAGAAGGTAGAACACAACCGTCACAGTTGGTAGCCATTGATAGCCTTCCCTTCTATGAATTTGTCTAACCATCTTTAACGCTGTCCAAACAATTAAAAAACCACACAGACACTTGGAAGAATGTGTCCACTCAACAAACCTGGGCATGATCATGCCACTTGTAATTTTATTAATATTCCAGTTACTTGAGCCCAGCTGCTCATGGTGTCATGGTCTGGTCTATGGGCGATCGAAGTCCCGGCTGAGGACGTCGGGACCGGGGGTAAGATGGCGGGGTGGGAGCAGGAACGAGAGTCCAGAAGCCAGGGGTCAGGAAGCAGGGAGTCAACAAAGTCAAGGGTCCGAGGGTCGAGAAGCAAGGAGTCAAGAAGCCGAGGTCCAAGGATCAGGAAGCAAGAAGCCAAACACAGCAAGGCAGGAAACGTGTTGCTGTGGCAAAGAGCCAAGGGGAAATGCTGACCTTATATCCCTTCCCAGCTTTTGCCACCAGGTGCAGTGAGTTACCAAGCAACCTCACCTGTGCGGCCGCACCTTGCCTCTCCAGAACAAACTTAGGAAGGCCCTAGTCCTGCGAAGCCCAACTGGTCACAGGGCCTGGCTCCTGCACGCACTCCTGACACAGGGTTTAAGTTTAATTCCCTACCTGCAACTAGGCCCCATTTCCTAGGCCAGGCCCAATGCTAACAGCGACAGGTCTGAGGCGAATAAGGCATTCCGAAGCCATCTGAGCAACAGAAAAACCTCACTGAGGATGTGTGTCTGAAAGTTGGGCTGCTTTTTGCCATATGCCAAGATTACATTGGCATTTTAGAGTGGCCATTTATGCACCAGAAAAGTAGAGGGCAAAAGCGGACACAGACTTGCATAGAATTTAAATATGCTAATTTATGTGCATGGATGCAAATTTAGGGGGGGTACTGCTATAAATTAAATACAATGACATTATGTCTTATCATAGTGACCTGTCTGCCCACAGAGAAGCTAACTTCAAGGCTCCTGTTATCCCTTTTTCGGATCCTATATCCATAAAACAGGCTTGGGCCAGAAAGCCATTCATTCGAGGCTGCCTTCAAACAGAGGGCTGTTCTCTGCCAGTTCTTCAAACAAGATCTTCAGACATTCACAAGGTAGAAGGAGTTGTTTGATAAAGACCCAAGCCTGGGAATTTGGACCACTGTAAAATATTTGCAGAGTGGAGAGAACACATGATTGGAAGTGAAGAAGCAGCAGTTGGGAGTGATACCTTAACCCTTCCACCATCCACTGTTTTTCCTCTGCAACTCCTAGCTGCTCTCATCCTCACAAGGCAAGGGCATGAGTTTGTTGTATTGGGTGTGAGGATAGCTAAGGAGAGGCAATTGCAAAGGGAAAGCACTGTGGAGAGCATATTAACTTATGGTCTGTGTGTGTGGTTTGGGAGCTGCACGGTCAGGGAAAAAACAATGCTATCCAGGGTTGTAAAGACTGCAGAGAGAATAATTGGGTGCACTCTTCCCACCTTGGATCAAATCTATGCTGCCAGGTGCCACAAGAAAGCGGCAGAGATAGCGCAGGATAGTACGCACCCCAGAAATGATCTCTTTCAGCTGCTGCCTTCTGGAAGAAGGTACAGGGTTATAAAGGCCAGGACTAGCCGCCTGAGAAACAGTTTCTACGCAAATGCAATTCTGGTTCTAAACGTAGCATAAGGGGTCTCTATAGTATAGTGTAGGGATGCGGGTGGCGCTGTGGGTAAAAGCCTCAGCGCCTAGGGCTTGCCGATCGAAAGGTCGGCGGTTCGAATCCCCGCGGCGGGGTGCGCTCCCGTTGCTCGGTCCCAGCGCCTGCCACCCTAGCAGTTCGAAAGCACCCCCGGGTGCAAGTAGATAAATAGGGACCGCTTACTAGCGGGAAGGTAAACGGCGTTTCCGTGTGCGGCTCTGGCTCGCCAGAGCAGCGATGTCACGCTGGCCACGTGACCTGGAAGTGTCTCCGGACAGTGCTGGCCCCCGGCCTCTTGAGTGAGATGGGCACACAACCCTAGAGTCTGTCAAGACTGGCCCGTACGGGCAGGGGTACCTTTACCTTTACCTTTATAGTATAGTGTATTTTAAAATGGGGTTCAGAGTTTTTAGGGGTTTTTGAATGTTTTATGTAGTTTTTATGTAGTTTTATGTAGTTCTTATGTAGTTTTATGTAGTTTTTCAATTTCATTGTTCTGCATGGGACAATGACAATAAAGATATCGTATATCGTATATCGTATATATCATTTTGGGAAGGGTTAAGCCTCCCCTCCCACCCACTATTTCTCTACTTCAAGTTGTACTCTTCTTCTGCCACTTTGTAGCTGTTTGGCAGAGAGCCAGGCACTTGAGTCTCCGCTGAGCATCTACAGTTGTTGTTAGAGAATTTTTGCTCCTCAGATGGATGCTCAGAAAAAGTTGGCGCCAGAAAAAGAAGAGAAAAATCCAAGAATTTGTTTCAACATAAACAACAATCCTTTTGTTATTGTTGTTGAACCACCAGCTTGATGCAAACATACAGCAAAGATACCATTAAAGTGAAACTAGTAGCTCCCCATCTCAGAAATGTCTTCTGAGCATCAAGCTAAACAAAGAAATTCTGTAACTACAGCAGCAGGCACCAAGCACATTTCAAGTTCACAACCCGGCTAATTCCTTAGGAAATGTCAACCAACACTAGGTAATGTCCATTTTTCATCCCCACTCAATTTGTACATGGGTGGAACGCAAAACACCATTAATATTGATAGTAAAGAGTAAAACCCATGGTGAGAGATAAAATTGCAGTTCAGTCTTGAGCTGCACATATGTATTGTCTGGAGACAAGCAGATGTCTTCTTTGTGTGCACTTCAGGGGCGATCTGCCAGAAGCTGTGCGTAGTTTCTGCAGTTCTTGAATCTTTAAAAGAAAGAATCTGTGTTGGTAGATGCCTAACAGAGAAACCAAAGGATTGAGGAGCATCCTATGGTCTTTTTGTGGCAGTGAGAACAAAAGGAATGCAAACCACAATGATGCACTGAGAAATTATTCATACAGACCAGCCTTTCCCAAGCTGGTGTCTTCCAGATGATTTAGACTACAGTTCCTATTATCCCAGGCTACATGCTGGGGCTGATGGGAGTTGTGGTACAAAACATCTGGAGGGGTGCACCTTTGGGGGTGAAGTCAAACTGTCGGAAGGTTGCAGCACCTGCTGTAGCTGTAGAGACCAAAAGGAAAGAGGCATGTTTTGTTGCAACCCAGTCAGATGGCTAGGATACAAATAATAAAATTATTACTATTATTATTGGTAATGCTGAGTTGGTCTGCCAATGGGCCTGGCACCTGAAGCCAGCTGCATGTAGAGCATGTCCTTGGGGATCCTGTCATCTTCCATTCTGTGGACACAACCAAACCAGTTGTCAAGGACTAGGCAGAGGAGGAACAGTGGAGACCGCCTCCCCAGCCTGACCCTTCCAGAGAAGAAGACAGTTCAGAATTACATCAAGGGTTTGAGGGAGATCACAGCTCAGAGGCAGATGAGGGGGAAAGCTGGGAAATAATGGGAAAGGAGGAGGAGGTAGAGCTGGAGCAGCTGGCTGACATGTTATCACTAGAAAGCATTCCAGACTCACCATCTCCCAGAACCCGGCAAGCCTTAAAAGTAGGAGAGCAAAGGGCTCAGAAGCAAAGGGCCCTCAGCGCCACCCGTAGAAGAGATGGCGAATGAGGAAGTGGGGGAGAAGGGGAGTGGAGATTTACTCGGGACAACGCCATTATTCCAAGAGGCTACATTCCCAAGTCTCTGTAAATACTGTAAATACTGAATAAAAACCGATGGTAAGGACTTTTCCTTGTCTTATCCGTTCCTGGCAAGCTGCCATGGGGGTTGGTTCCTCTACCACCTGACACCAGTGTTGATGTCGCTGAGACAGGAGTCAT